TACAAAGCCGTGTACCAGTCAAAGGTCGGATGAAGATGAGCACACACATACTTGGTCTTAGCCAAAAGGACCTGGGAACCATGAAAGGCAAGTCTGGTGAGGGAAAGGAACCTGGTGAGCCTCCCACGCCCACTCAGAGGGAAGGACACGCGTGTTGATTACAGCACAGCAGTAACAAGTAGAGAATCCAAGGGGGGTAAGGTGACAGCCTGCTGTCAGGGGCCCTGCAAGCAGCCTCTCCAGGAAGCCCATTTACATCTGATGTCACATTGGTGTGGTCTAGAACGGTGCCCTAGTCCCGCCACGCCTCGGCATTGGGAGGTGCAGAACCTGTGTCCTTGCTCCAGGCAGATTTCACTGTGAACAGCCTGTGAAAAAGACCCACATCACAGCCTCCAGGGTGTGTGACCCTGTGGGATCAAAGTGGGGTGCGGAGCCGAAGGAGGCGGAGTCGGGACGCCGTGGACACACGCTGGGCGTCTCTGCCACAAAACAGAAACACCGGGCCACAGGATTTCCGGTCAAAACTCTGCACTGGCCATGACCCGGGAAGCCACAAGGTGGGAAGGTTCATGCTCACAGGTAATCGTTTGAGAGTACAAATAAACTCATTATCTAATGCCTTACATTTTATTTACTTCATGTGCCTGAGCGTTTTTTTAGCCTGCGAGTCTGCATGTGCGCCATGTGCCTGCAGTACCCAAGGAGGCCAGAAGGGGGCATAAACCCCCTGGGTCTGGAGTTAGAGTTGTGAACCTTCATTGGGTGCTCAGAACCCAACCCTGGTCCTCTGGTGTTTTTATCCACTGGGTCATCTCTCCAACCCTTGGAGGAAAAAAAATTAAAGAAAAAACCCAGGTGGTTCCAAGTGAAACCAAGCCTTCCCAGGTGGCCTCGCTGGGCCTCCTGCAAAAATGAACTCTGCCAGCCAAGGCCCAGAGATAGGCGACTCATCCCCCTTCTGTGGGCCTCCTGCACACTCCCAGCACGCCGGGCTTGTGCACAGCACACATGGGCACACATGGGCACACACAACCATCCTGCAAGAGGCTCCGCCCCTTAATCCAAAGGCTGTGCTGCCCACCTGCTCCTAGGGCCTGAGAGGTCTGGTCTGCTGCACTTCAGAGAGTTTTCACTTTAAATCTCTCCACGGTCACCCACAGGTGTTTCGCCTTTACCTCACAGATTGGGGGCTGACTGGGAGGCAAGAGGCACTAAGTGTGTCTCTCCCACTCCAAAATCTCCTATTCCCATCCCCACACTGGCCAATCAATGTCCACAGTTTTAAGACATGGTTCTGGCCGGGTGTTGGTGGCACACGCCTTTAATCCCAGCACTCGGGAGGCAGAGGCAGGCAGATCTCTGTGAGTTTGAGACCAGCCTGGTCTACAAGAGCTAGTTCCAGGACAGCCTCCAAAGCCACAGAGAAACCCTGTCTCGAAAAACCAAAAAATAAAAAGACATGGTTCTGAGTCTCTCTGGTCCCCTTCGGCCTGAGCCTCAGTCTTTCCGGTCCCTGTCTTAGGGTTTCTATTGCTGTGAAGATGACACCATGACCACAAGTCGTATAAAGGGAAACATTTAGCTGGGGCTGCTTACAGTTTCAGAGGTTTAGTCCATTGTCTTCCTGGCGGGCGGGAAGCATGGCAGCACAGAGGCAGACATGGTGCTGGAGAGGGAGCCGGGAGGGCTGCATCCGACCCACAGGCAGCAGGAAGGGACGTGTGTGCCCCAGTGCGTGTGGCTTGAGCATATATGAGACCCTCCAAAGTGAAGCACTTCCTCCAACAGGGCCACACACACTCTAACAAGGCCACGCCTCCTAATAGTGCCACTCCCTATAGGCCAAGCACTCAAACACGAGTCTACGGGGGACAATCCTATCCAAATCACCACAGTCCCCCTTTTCCCTGAGCCCCTGTCCCTCTGGTCCCTTCTCCCCAAGCCTCTGTCCCTCTGGTCCCCCTCCCCAAGCCCCTGTCCCTCTGGTCCCCCCTCCCCAAGCCCCTGTCCCTCTGGTCCCCTTCTCCCTGAGCCCCTGTCCCTCTGGTCCCCTTCTCCCTGAGCCTCTGTCACATACTTTTAGGTGAGTGGTAACTCCTCTCTGACTCTGTGTGTGTCACTGTCTGTTTTGTGTCCGCAGGAAAGGTCGCAGAACCTCACTTTACAAACAAGGAGCAGAGGGGCACGGGAAGCCCGATGAGTAACAAAGCCGTAGGCAGGGCCTCTTTCCATTTGGGGTCAGTGGTGGAAAGATCAAGGTCTCTCTGGGAGTTTGGGGACATTTTTGAGGTCCAGGCATCGATGCCCCCTTCTCCGAAGAGCATCTGCAGAACACAGTCACCAGCCTTGTGACAGGACTCCGCGGTTAGTCTCAGGCCTAGGTCTCCTCTCAAGGGTCTAATAATTAACCCTCGTGGCGCTGAGAATTAGCGGAGCAATGCATAGTCACCTGCCTCTTCAAAGTGGGCGCGGCACACGGTGACTGTACACTAGACACTGCTATTATGTTCAAACAACTGCATCCTGGGGTCTCTCCTCAGACTGAGCCCCAGACTCAAACAAGGGTTCAAAGGCCTCGTGTCCTTTATGTGAGTCTACTCCACCTCCCCATTTCAATTACCTTTAGACAAATGTATTGGCCTGTTTGTCCCTCTGTCCCCGAGGGACATGAGTTACTCCTCAAGGCTCAGAGGTCTGTGGTGAGATGCAACCTCTCAACTTCCACTCATCCTCAAGGGTTAAAGGGAGGGAGGCCAGAGCAGCAGCCAGGGAGAGGAGTGCTGTGTGGAGCGTCAGCCGTCGCCTGGATCCACCTTGCTAACTAACATACCTGAATCTTTACATTCCTCCCAAGTGTCAAGTAAGCACTGGGCCCTGGATGTCTATTTGTTACCTTTTTTTTTTTTTTTTTGGTTTTTCGAGACAGGGTTTCTCTGTATTGTTTTAGAGGCTGTCGGTCCAGCCCAGCCTCGAACTCACAGAGATCCGCCTGCCTCTGCCTCCCGAGTGCTGGGATTAAAGGTGTGCACCACCACCACCCGGCCTATTTGTTACCTTTTATGAGACAGAGACCCTGACAATCTGGAGGGACCTAGGACTGCACGGCCTTTATCCAGAGGGACATCCATGTCAGCAGGGAGGTGGCTTTGAGAGACTGTCACCAACATAAGCATTCTACGTGCCTGGGATACAGCTTGAATTCCACGAGCGATGTCAGAAGAGTCAGCCACTGTCCCCAGATGCCAGAGCCTACCTAGCCATTGTCCACACCTTCTAGAGGTTCAGCCTGCACTAGGCCGCTCTAAAGATCTCTGTGGGCCTGCCCTGTGCTGGGGCCAGGTGGCAGGAGACAGAAGGATCGAGGAGACCCTGTGCAGCAGATCCTGGAGAGAAACTTCTACCTGGTTGTATGCGGGGGACAAGTCTGCCCTTTACATACTTGAGACATAGGAGATGCTTGCAGAGCTGGGCGTTGGTGGCGCACGCCTTTAATAATCCCAGCACTCCAGAGGCAGAAGCAGGCAGATCTCTGTGAGTTCAAGGCCACCCTGGTCTCCAGAGGGAGTTCCAGAACAGCCTCCAAAGCAATTCAGAGAAACCCTGTCCCGAAAAGCCAGAGAGAGAGAGAGAGAGAGAGAGAGGCTGTGCAATGGAAATGAAGTCAAGAATGACTGTGCAGTTCAGCTTGTATTAACATGCCATGTACAGTGGAATGAGATGGGATCCTATTAAAATCACACGTTTGGGGGAATGTTTCCCGGCTCTCGCTGTACTGATCATGTGTTCCTTCACAAGATGTTATGTACGGTCCCTGACATCCATGCAGGAAACACCGGATCAGAACATGGACCTGTGCCGGTGTCACGAGATGGTCCGTGTTAAGCACAGGGAGGGTCAGGGCATCCACACAGGCACACAGGGCTGTGTCTCAAGTTTTCTTCCAAAGAAAGTATTTTACACATCACATACGAATCAAACAAGGAGTCCGACAAGGGTCCTTTATTACCACCAAAAAAAAAAAAAAACGGGGGGGGGGGAGAATAATTTACAATCTTATAACCAAAGGCAAGAACAGCCCAGGATGGATCTATCCCTGGAAATGCCACAGCCCCATGCATCCCTTCCGTGGCTGCCCATACATCCGGAAGTCAGTCTCCGGGTGTTGGGAAGTGCTGCTGGGTTTTTCTGCTGGGTCAGTAGATACACAGCAGAGTTGAACGTGAGGGGCCTAAGTAGTGCAAACACACACTCACATGCACCAAAGCGGGGGAAAGAAGCCTAAAACCACTGTGACATCCTTGCTTCTAAGCGTCAGAGCCTCGGATGCTCTGTCCGACTGAATGGGTTTGCTCCGCCCCCAACTTGATCCAACCAGGAGCGAACAGGAAGAAGCATGGAGTAGACTTAAATGGCACCTGTGCCAAAAATAATAAATTAAGGTTTAAAAAAAGAGAAACAATAGTTGGGTGAGAAAAATGCTCAGAGGGAAAAAAAACAAAAACAAAAACCAGTGTGATGGTCTGCTAAACACATTCTTCCAGGGAGTCATGAGGGACCCCCCTTCCTAAGCACAGAGAATACAAGCTTCCCAAAGAGGCCTCAAGTGCTAGAAACTCCAAAAACCAGGAGACAAGAGAGAATGGACTAGGTCTGCAGGGCCCGGGCAGCCTAGGGAATGCAAACCAGAGGGCAAGCTCAATGCCAGGCGATGAGTCACCACTGTGTGGGCCAGCCCAGCCCAGCCCTGCAGAAAGCAGACTGTGAGAGACACAGACGGGCAGGTGCCGAGTCAAGGTCAACATTAGTCCCCGGTAAGTAAAAAGCAAAGCCCCCATGGCTATGTCTTGGGAGTCCACAGTCTCCCTAAGAAATACTGGGAGCCTGGAGCTACAGAGGCATCGGGAGAGGTTAAGAAACGGAAAACAGGTCAGCTACTGTGTCAGGGTGAGCGACACACATAGTAGCATTCCATTACCGTGGACAATAGAAAACGATTCAGATACCATGAAAAAATCATCTATAAAAATATCTACATTAAAACTTCAGCTGAGAGCTGCAGCTGCGATTTTACAAAAAGGCAATCTTTGAAAGGGTCTGGCTCAGAAATATACAAACATTACACAACAGACGTCAAAGTAGGACAGCTCAGAAATGCCTCTGAGGAGGGATTGCAACTGGTTTTGTCATGAGATACAATTAAGAATTCTTATTGCATAGCAGAAAAATGAGGTCACTTCATTTGCATAATACTGCCATATTATTTGTTTTTTTTTAAAGATGGAGATGCTCTTGGGTACTTGGGAGAAGTGACTTCTACGCTGTCCGAATCAGCATCCAAGCAGTGTCTAAGCTGCTTTTGACCTTAGGTTTCAGGTCCGTTTCACCGCTGCCATCAGATCTCAGATGTGCCCCCAGCATGGCTGTGCTCACTAGCGGTAGCGGCTGCTCTGACAGGCGGGGGGGGGGATTGGGGAGCCGTTCCCCACTGTGTGGCTTAGCACACGCTTGAAAGTGAGTCTGAGGTGTCCACCATGGGGAGACTTCTACCTGATGCCTGATGACGGAGCAACAGGGGTCTCGGGTGGCATCTGCGGGCAGCTAGGGCAGATCGGCTTTTTTGGTGATGACGTACCAGTGTTCTAGTCCCCACGAGAAAGGACGCAAGAGGGTGGAATGAGTGGAACCCTCAGCAGCTTCGCCTGCAAAGGCAACGCTTTGTGGGAAGGGGTGGGACCAAACAGCAAAAGCTCCAGCAGAAACCACAGCTGGCCAGCTCCCACAGCCGGAGGGGTTGTCTCCAAGAAGAGACTCATCTTGACCCCCAAGTATAAAAGTCTAGGGAGCGATGGGGGAGGAGGCAGGGCTACCCTTCACCTGAAGTGGGATGCTTCTGAACACCGCACATTAGACTCTGGTCCCCAACCTTACCTTCACCCCTCAAGGTACCTCAAACAAGTCCTCAGACTTCCCTGGAGAAGGAGGAGGGATTATCAGGGAGGTGTTCTACTTTCTAATGCCAAGCAGAGCTTCACAAGCAACTCTCCCCAACTCACAGCTAGAAACAGGGCATCTGCCAAAAAAAAAAAAAGTTTGCATCCATTGGAAGACATTTCTCCTGGATCTCCCAAAGCTGGGTATTCTGGCTACTAACTATCTGGGTGTTGTGGTGCCTAATTTCTGCTTAACATTAGAAATACTTTACTCTCATGGCAGGGTACACTTTAAAGACTCAGTAAATACTCAGTGGCCACCTCGTTGGGGAGAAGCTAGGCTTCCAAATGCAGGGCATAGGAGGTACCAACCCACTGCAGATATACCTCCGAGGGCTGCTGTGTCAGAAGGCCAGCATCAGAGTTCACGGAGTCCCTTGGTCTCCTCTACACAGATTCTGACTCCAGGGAGGCTGAAACCCTGCCCCATGGGGTGTGAGACTGCTCTCCTGGCACATCTCCCATCCAAGGGCAGACGTTCCAATACAAGCAATTTGCTGGCTTAGAAAGAGGTCAGCTTTGAGGTTTGTGTGTGTGCGGGTAGGGTAAATGTGCACAGAGACCAGAGGTCAGCGTTTAAAGTTAGTCCTCAGGAGACACAACTTGTTTTGAGAAGCACTCTCCCTGGGACCAGAGACTTTACTGGTTAGCCCAGGCTGGCTGTCACCAAGCCTCAGCCCCTCTCTCTCTCTGCCTTCCCAGCTTTGGGATTGTAGGCGCATGCTGCCATGCCCAGATTTTTTTCCATCAGTGCTAGAGAGCAAACTCATGCTTGTGCAGCGAACACACCCCCCCAACCCTAATGTGTGTGCTTCACGCACCTCCAAACAACACCCAGGTGCTTGAAGTTACATTCTTTATCATTTTGATCTGAGCAAAACTTTCATAAGTTTCTTTCATTTTTAAAACACAAGGGTCTTTGAAGAATATCTCCAGTCCCACGGGCCCACTACCATCTCCTCCCCAAAGGGGAGCGTAAGAAGAGGTGTTTGGGAGGCTGGGGAACGGATACAGACCCTGAAACAGGAAGACAACAGGAGACAGGGAAGACAGATACAGACAGCCTTGACCATCGTCACAAAGAGCCAATGGCCAGATCCAGCCCGAATAGTCCTTAGAAGTCATCCATGTCCCTCTGAGTTACTTACAGCCCCACGAAACACAGGGGCAAGCCTCTCTATGGGTTTAGTGGCAGGGTGACCGTTGACTTGTCCTCCGCGTGAGAACTGATACCATGAATAAGTAAGCCTACATAATAAGCATAATAAATAAGGTTGGTGGTCTGGAATACTCGGAAGCTGGGTCCCTCTCCGATACCACTGTGGGTGGGTACAAATCCGTACCACTTTGGTTTTTCTGGGTTTTGTTTTGTTTTTGTTTTTCTTTTGTTTTGTATTCTTGTCTATTTTGCCCCAGTGTTCTACCTGGGGCTTCTCTGAAGAGTTTGTTTTCCCTGCTGAAAAGACACAAAATCTTCCAAACCTGGAATCCATGACATCAAAATCTAGAGGCCAAGATGCGAAGGCAAAACAGTCCCCAAATGCTTCCTAGGGGGCAGCCAAGGAGCAGTGGCTGGCAACGGCTGGATGAGGCTGCACCCCAGAGGTACCCACGGATGAGGCTGCACCCCAGAGGTACCCGGAGGATGCAGTGCCGCTCTGAGGAAGTACCGGTTCTTCCACACGGCGTCGACAGTAGTCAAGGCATGGTCCCAGACATGGTTGAAGGGCTGCTTCTTGCTAGTTCTGCCTGGACCTTTAGTAGTCTAGGTGCCCATGGGACGAGTACAGAAGCCATTGGTAGGCATTTTAGCATAGTGGAAAGGTCAGTAGTAAAGAAATGCAGTAGACTCTCGCACAGCCCCAGCCCCAGCTGAGTGAGATGTTTCCACACACACAAACGCAAATGCGCGCATGCTCTCACACGCACACACACACACACACTTCAAGGTTCTCTCTGTTGTCCTGTAGAAACACACACACACACACACACTTCAAGGTTCTCTCTGTTGTCCTGTAGAAACACACACACACACACACACACACACACACACTTCAAGGTTCTCTCTGTTGTCCTGTAGAAACACACACACACACACACACACACACGCACATGCACACGCATACACACGTATGCCCAAGGAGTTTTTGTGGGGCTGTCAGGAACCCAACTGTTCAGGGCAGAAACCAAAGCACCTCGGAGCAGAAGGTGGACCATCAATCCCCACACTGAGAGGGACAAAGCTGGTCTGCTAGGGGGTGGCTCTCAAACCACTGCAAAGCCTCCTAGTTAATCTCTCCCGTTGTCACGGTCCCGCTGCTGGGTGCTCGGGTCAGGCAGTGCCCTCTCCTTCCTCCACCTCCTGGCAGTGGGGACCTGGGTCACAAGGATTTGTGAATCACAGCAACACCTAACAGGAGAGGGAAACAAAGTTACCATCTTAGCTTCTCCAAAGTTAATCAGAGTCCCAGGAATCTGTCACATCCCATCACAGCCTGTGGAATCCCAAAGGGTCCCGGGCTGGCTCCTCCCCTCTAAGAGCCACACCCTGGAGCCTGATCTCCAACAGTGCACGCCAGCAGACATATCCACCCCTCGTCCTGACCACAGCACCCTGTGTAACCGCCGCCACAGCCCTCACTAAGAACCCGAGGCATCTGTCTGCAAATCTGTATCTTTTGGGGAGAAGTGATGGCTGATGTTCATCTACTTTCCTACTTTTAGAAGTTGCTGGAATGAACTGGAAAGAATAGTATACCAACTTCATGGGATGAGGAAAAATGAATTTGCAACCCCAGCCTTGCCACAGGCAACCTGTATTATGGTCTTTTCGGTGAGTTCAGACGCACCTCCAAGCTACAATCATACTGCTTGCTGTCACAGAACTGAGACCCTCCTCAAGGGCTCAGTTCCCAATTGCATAAACATTCCAAACATGTACTGTGTGCCACTGCTTTAGTAAAAACTTAACCACATTCAGGTCCTAACTTTGTTTTTTGTTTGTTTGTTTGTTTGGTTGGTTGGTTTTGGTTTTTCAAGATAAGGTTTTGTATTGTTTTTGGAGGCTGTCCTGGAACTTGCTCTTGTAGACCAGACTGGCCTCGAACTCACAGAGATCCACCTTCCTCTGCCTCCCGAGTGCTAGGATTAAAGGCGTGCGCCACCAATGCCCAGCTTCAGGTCCTAACTTTGTAAATCTGCTTAGTCCACCATATGGGTTACAGTGACTGCATGGAGTTTCTCTGTGCCCACTGTATGGGTTACAATGGCTGTATGGAAGTCACAGAGGTTGAAGAAGTCAACATCCTTTCTACACATTGTTCTCTACTACAGACAGGAGCTAGTGACAAACTCTGCCTGCTACCCTGCCTTTTCAAATGCCCTGTGTCCTAGCCAATGAGACTGTGTGGTGAGTCTTCTATAGTGTGACTGTGGCTTGTCCAAGACTTTCTTCCTGGGACCATACACCTCCTTCCTGGTGGAAGTCAATACCAGGCAGGTGTCTGGAACCTGCTGATAAATCCTAACTCAAAAAGTAACCACAAATGAACATGTTTACTAGAAATTTATTTATCTGTGGTTTGATTTGGGGGTTTTTGTTTTGTCTTTTGAGACAGGATTTCTCTGTGTAGTCCTGGCTATCCTGGAACTCACTCTGTAGGCCAGGTTGGCCTTGAACTCAGAGATCTGCTTCCTGAGTGCTAGGGTTAAAGGAGTACCCCACCACTGCCTGGCTTGGAGATTTATTTTAACATGTTCCTATAGCTATAAGCTTTTCTAACTGAAGATGAGATTAAGGAAACACCAACTAAAGAAAGGGGGAATACTCCATCAGAGACATTTTGTTTAAGACATCCATTCCCTGTCCGTTCCTGGCTAAAGGTATAGACAGGAAAGCTAGACCCCAGACCAGGAGGTACCACCTGGCCTTGGCAGCCTCACCTGTGCTACAGAAACCACTCTCACTAAGTAATTCTTGTGAAAAAAAAAGCAGGCTCTTGTAGTGTTTTCATGTAGTGTTTTTTATACAAGCCCCTTTGCCAGACAAGTAATATGCTCTCGTTATGGAAATTGCATAAGGATACAAAGCAGAAATCTTTTATCCCTTGGAAGGGAACCACCATCTTTTTTAGCACTTCCCAGCTTCTAATAATAATCAGAATGGGTTAGCTGGTGGTGTGACTCACACCAGGCAGGCACCATGCTACAAACTAAACACGGAGTATCACATTCCATTCCCTTAAAAACTCTCAGAGGCCCGGTCTAATTTTATCCCCAGTTTTCAACTGAGACAATGGAAGTTCTGTCCGACTGAATGCCTAAGCCCAGAGACGCAGGGCTAGTGGCAGATCTGAGACTCCAACATCCACTTGGAGAAGTAACAGCTCTTCAAACCCCTACTCCTCCGATATAGGACCAGAGCACTCGGCACACTTGGCACACACAACTCAAGTCCTCCTCTAACCCAGCAGCATGTCAAGCACAAGCTTTTTCTCCAGACATCAAAAATAGAGGAGGTTGGGGAGGAGCTGGGAGGAGGCAGGGGAGGGGAGATCATAATCAGAAGATACCATATTGAAAAAAAGATCTATTTTACAATTTTTAAAAAGATAGAAAAAATAAACCCACTGAATAAACATTCCATAGAATATTTAATCATTTCTCTTATATCAGTCATTAACTATTATCATGGGGGGGAGATGCTATTGCAAGCAATGCCCTGCTGAGTCATGTCGGCCTTAAATCTTTGTGCATCAGACCCGCTCCCTAAGATTCCGAGATGACACACTCACTTGGTCAGCTGGTTTGAGTACAAAATGGCCTGATTGTGTCCTGCCCACCAGTTCCGAGTGGGCAGAGAAAGAAGAGAGGTTTCGGAGTATTCAGCACATACGTGAACTCCTAGAGGGTCCCACTCAACCCACCCGCTTCTCACTAACAGAGGCGGAGCCCGAGGGACCCGCCCACTTTCTCATCCTACACGATGCCATGTTCATTTCTCTCCGCAGCCTCAGAGAGAAAGGTGCTGATTCCCTTGAGAACAGGGCTGCTCTGGCGTCAAAACCCTTCCGGCGTCTTAGTGAAGTAGAGTTGCAGCAGGGTGGGAAAGGCTTAAAGGAGGGGAGGGCAAAAGAAATGCATTGCAACGGGAAAGAAGGTGACAGGAGCCCTCGGCACCGGCAGAGCACAGTGGCCCTGGGACCTGAGCCAGGTGGGTGTGCTGGTAGCTGACCTTTCTCACAGGAAATGGAAGCAAGAGGAGAAACGCTGGGGCCGAGGGGCAGGGGCACGAGAGGGCGGTTTTTAAACACGTGGCTTTTTAAGTGGCTTGTGCTCGGTGAATAAACATTTAGTCCACACATAAGAAGCCTGGCCTGTGGGTCTCCTCTTCAGAGGGTCTGCGGCCAGCATCAACTCTTGGCCCTGCACTGGACTGAGCCTGGCACCGCCCTCTACAAGACGCAGCCTCTGCGCCAGTGTCTACCCATTACCCGCAGGACGCCCACTGCTCCCTAGCTCCTTTACCCAGCCTGAGCTGTGGCAGTAGACGGGGCATGGCTTAGACAGAAGTCAGAGCTACGTTTGAACTCTGGCTTCGGTGCAGGCTAAGCAGTGTGGCTGACCTTTGGTGGTGGTCACTTACAGTCTCCACAACTCAGCTGCAACGTCAAGGATGCAGTCCCACATAGCAGTGCGCACGGCGTACCTGCTATGTTGGCTCGGAGGTTCAGGGAGGCGTTAGAGTTGGGATGTGAAATAGCCCCTGTGGGCCCACTTCTTAAGGGTTTGGAGACCAGCTAGAAAACTCTGGGAGGTGTGATGTGGCATATCCTTCCACAAACTGTGAATGTGTGTTGCTTTTACTGGCTGATGAATAAAATTGTTTCAGCCAATGACTAAGCAGAATGAAGCCGGGAAGGAAATCTGGACACAGAAAGAAGGCGGAGTCGAGGAGACGCCATGTAGCCACTGGAGAGGCAAGATGACAGGGCATCACTGGTAAACCACAGCCACATGGGGATACACAGTTTACTAGAAATGGGTTAACTTATAAGAGAGAGAGCTAGCTAGTAATAAGCCTAAGCCATTGGCCAAACAATTATAAATATATGTTGAGTCTCTGAGTGGTTGTCATATAAGCAGCTGCAGGGACCCGGTGGGCAGAGAGAAACCAGTCAAGTGGGATTGGGCTTCAAATTACATCTGGTGCCCAGCATGGGGCTCAAAACCATGACCCTGAGACAAGGTTACTATCATCTCGTATCTTATACTTTTGGTTGTGAGCCTAGCCTTTAACGGCTGAGCCATCTCTCCAACCCCATCCTCTTGTATCTTAGCTAAAACACTTTAGTACAAGACTTAGGCTCCTCAGGATAGGGCGGCTTTGGAATGATCCCTATTATTTGCCAATTATCCATAGCCTGAACATTTAGTATATCCTTGTGTTTCTTGCTTTATGCTGTAGTTCTATTGTTGTGTATGTTAGTATCCTTGCTCTTGGACAATACTTGGTATTTGTTCTTATTATACACAGTTTTGTGTTAGGCTTAGAACCTTCTTATTTAGACAAAAATGGGAAGTGTTATGGGAAATTATTCTACCAATAGTTTTGGGGTACCTGCCTTAGGGCGTGGCTTCTGCGGGTGGACATAACCCCTTATAAGGAAACGGGAGAGGTCTCTCTCACCCTCTCACTCTCTCCCTCTCTCGTGTGGTGGACAGAGACAAGATGGCAGTTTCCATTGACCCCAGGGACAGAAGGGAAGATGTGGTGAGTGATCCCCAACAAATATTGGATATCCTTTTATCTGGGTCCGCATGGACTCTCACACCCTCACCTACAGAGGTGGAGGGAGCGAGCTGCAGGAGGTATGCCACTGAGGGGCTCTCAAACCTGACCCCCTCCTGTCTCTGCCGCCTAGGTGGAAGGAGATGGGAAGCCCCATTATCCCACGAGCTTCCCGTAGCATCTCTACATGCTGAGCCTCACAACCACCCAGAAACAAAGTAGCTGAGAGACAGAAGACTGAAATTCCTGAAACCATGGGACAAAATAACCCTCTCCTTCCCCCACAACCCCCCACACACACTTACATAGCTCCCCTCAGGAACTTGTCACAACAACAAGAAAATACCCAACATAAAAAGTACACAATAAAAGGCAGCGTGTGTGTGTGTGTGTGTGTGTGTGTGTGTGTGTGTGTGTGAGGTTGTACACCCAGAACCCAGCAGAGCCCATCTCCTGAGAACAGGTCCCTGACGGCCGTTCTCACAGCCATTCTGTCCAGATACACCACATTCACAGCTCATGGTAACCTCATACGAGTATCTGGTGTTTCCTGTCTGTACAGGTTTTATCTTCCCAGCCTAATGCTACACTAAGTATCCTGTGCAGCTACATTCAGGTTTGCCCGGGGGGGGGGTAGTGCTGATTGTCGGCATCCATCATGGGCACACAGCAAAGATGCAATTGCCTGTAACCCTGCTGGAGGAATTCAGCTCCCCAGTTGAGAAAGCTCATCCCCTCATGCTGCTCCTGCCCTGGGTGTGGTGGTCCCTGGAGCAGTAACCCACTGACCTGCATAGCTCCTCCCAGTGCTCATGTTGCTTGGCAACAGCGTCCACTTGTCGGTGACTGGGTTGTAGTACTCTACTGAGGCCAGGTTGCAGGATCCATCGTCCCCTCCAACCACGTATAGGAGCCCATTCACTGCACAGACCCCTGGAAATCAGACGGAAGTCACAGGATCAGTGGCCAGGACCCGTGGGCAGCTGGCCCCCATACCCAGAGCCTCTTTTTGTCCCTCTCCCTGGGGGGGGTCTGGATCCTCTCAATGGAGGAGCATGCTGGACTCTGAGGGTCCCTTCTAGGGAGCTTTCATCACTGCGTAGTCCTACAGATGTTCCGACAGAGCGCCTCCCACCGCCACACGATAGAGGGAACATTACGGTTCTCCCCCGTGGGGATGTTATAGAGAGATGTCACAGGTCTCCCCGTCAGCCTGGGCTAGGGAAGAGACAAGACTTCCCTGTACTCCTGTTTCCCTGCGCCTTCGTTCTACCCCGCTGCTGAGCCGTTTGCTGTGCCCATCCTGTAAGCTGCTAATGGCTGTGCCTGTGACCCCTCTTAAGGCGGGCGGGCATCTGAATTCACACACATCTGAATTCAGCTCGGGTTGGGGTTTCTTTCTCATCCTCATCTCAGAGTGAGCTTGTTTGATGGCGAGGTCTCATGAGGCTGGATGGAAGGGCGGGTAAACGTAATTTTTATTCAAGAACCTAAAACTCATAGTCCACTAGGTAGTGTTTGTCTTTTTATTGTCTATATAAACCCAAGTTTATTGACGCTGCTTTTTAAAGTAATTACTAGCAATGCTGACTAAAGATACTGTCAATACAGGTGAGAGCATAAAGTGTGCTGTCTTCCTGCCTGGATGTACATAAATGTACGTGCTCATAAAATGCACAGGTCACTCCTCCATCTCAGGATTCCGCTTGCGGCCTTTCCTTCTAGGGAAATCATTTTAAATGCATACATTGACTTAACTATAAGGGTCATCTACAATAGCTGCAGCATTACCAGTGGCATAGAAAAGATGGGATAAATGGAGTATTCCATAATGAACTGGGTGAATTATGATATCGCCATGTTAAGTGAGAGCATGGAGATACATTTAGTGTTGCAATCAGACACTGATGGAAAACCAAGTTTTAAAACAGCACTATGGTAAGACCCATATGCTATTACAGAAGTGTCTGCATGTGATTTTACACATGCCTGTGTTTATATCTTAACTCGTAAGTCTGCCTTACAGGCTCTGCAACTCCTTGCTCCTGTGGCTGAAGGCCAAATGCCATCACCGCATCACCGCAGCCTCAGGCAGCCGATTGGTCACGCCCCTCCATTCATGCTTCTCGCCAATCAGCCGAGGTGAGTAGAGTAGCCAGCAGGTAAAGTGGGAGAAAAGGAAACAATTCTACCAAGCAGCCCATCTTAGCCAGCACAGCCTGGGAAGAAGGTGGGGGAAGCTAGCCTAACCCTTTCCCAGAGCAGAGAAGCACAACTCAAAGCAAGCTCAACTGAAAGCGAAGCCGCGGAAGGAAACGGCTTGGTAGGGCTGTCAGGCCCCAGGACACCTGACCCTGAGCACTCTGGGACAGGCTGCTCTTATAGGAAGGATTCAAAGAGCAAAGGGGCATGGGGACAGGCATACGAGGCAGACAGCAAGGGAGGAGATGACACTGGGGGAGTGGGGTGGAGTTTGGCTCTCCTGCCGCCAGGAAGGAACTTGAACCCTGTGAAGTATGAGGCTCTTCCAGCCTGACTCTGGCAGAGAAAACTTTACAGCACCACTGTCTGCCTTGGACCCACATGGCTCTGCGCATGGCTACTGGCCCAGCCATCGGACAGTGGCACTGGTGAAACCAGGCATCAACCTCCACTAGAGAGAGGGGACTCAGGGTCTCGGGGCGAGGGGTGTCCTGTGGCCAGCTTCCGGGGTCCAGGTTCTCCCTTCCCCTAATGCTGAGCCTCAGAACACAGGCTCAGAAACTTACTCTGGCAACCCTGTCCCTCAGAGTGATCACCTCCAGGGAGGAGAGTGCTGTGGCCTTGAGAGGAGGAGGGGGAGGGGGAGGGGGAGGGGGGAAGGGGAGGGGCGCGGTCACACTAACCTGCGTTCCGCCGGCACATGTTCATGTCTGCCACCTGCTTCCAGGTGTTTGTCCCAGGGTCGTAAACCTCGACGCTCTTCCTCACCAAGGGTCCGTCGTGTCCCCCCGTGGCGTACAGCTGTCCGCTGAGGACCCCAACTCCTGAAAGGCAAAGCGCAGTGTCCTAGCCTCGGCCCCTGCTAGAAGCACCAGAAACCAAGAGGTCTGGTGTCCAGCCCTGGACAGCCGTCACCAGCAGGGTGACTTGGGGAACAAGTGCCGTCTCCCTGGACCCCGGTCTCCTAATCTGTTAAGCAAATACGAGGATGCTCTCTACCTGGCTCCGCGTAAGACAGGCAGCCTGGAATCATGGGGATCCAAAGCCAATGTCGCCCGTTTCTGCTTTTAAAATGTAAATATGTATGTGTGTACACGTGGGGCGGTGACAAAGGAACAAAAGGGTCAAAGGAATCCGCTAAAATGTGGGAGGTGGCTAGTTAGCTCTCGGCCGTAAAATGACACCCGTTTCCGGTTTACCTTCCCAGGACACCTTGCTTTCCTTCAATGTCTTATTATTCAGCCCTGTATCCGTTGAGTAAAGAGCCACAGAGCAGCAGCGCTGCTGAGGTCACCACTGGGGAGACATCCCTGCTGGCCTGTCCCTTCTCCTTGACGGCAGAAGGCATCAGACATCTCCAGGGGAGGAGCTGCCCAGGATGAGCAGTCCGTTGCTATGAGACAAGGAGACGCAGACGCAGGCCATAAAGGGAGAAAGGGCCACCTAGTGAGGGCAGCTGGCCTGGAAGCTGGGGCACCTAGACCTGCCTCTCTAACATCCCTCTGGGTACCCCTCCTCTCTCCCATCCACGGAGGGAAGGAGTTGGAATGATTCTGTGATCCATGGGCTACTGTCTTCTCTGGACAGGCTGCACCCTCCCGCTGGGAACTTTCTGGAAAGACAGGGCCTTAGTCCCACAGACACTGCTCAGAAGCCCCAAAAAAGAGTGTCTTGGTGAATGGGATGTGGGGTCAGGCTGTGGGTCTGGGAGCTGCATCTAGAGATACAGACTTCACGAGGTCAAGAACTGCTTATGTCTTGCCCTGGCCTCTTCTCGAGGCTGCTGCTGCTGCTGCTGCTGGGCTCTCTCTCGGTAGATGCCATCTAAATGACAAGATGTAAAATCCAGCTGGTGGTTGTTCATGCGGGTTAGCCAGTGGGTCCTAGCAGTTGCCCTAAACTAGCAGCAGATGGTGCTGCTGGTCCAACAATGGCTGGCATCAGGTTGTGGGATTCAGAAAATCGGTAGCTTCATGCTGCCTCACCTCCCCTTCCTCCAGGGGCAGCAGGAGCTGACACCCCCAGGATCCCGACATGGCCTCCATCCATCCCTCTGCTTGTGCTGTCTACTGCGAAGGGAGCTCGCGGTACCCCAGGCATGCCCTGGCAACTCTCATCCCTTGGCAGCCTGTCCACAGACACCCATGGAGGAGCCACACTGGGCTCTCGGGCAGCTGGGATACAGAGCCTTTGGTCTCCGAGTCCTTGGCTCTCAGAAGCACCGACCATTGGCTCCCAGCTCTAGAGACGGCAACGCCAACTCGAAGCCGAGTGAAGCTTTGAAGACAGGGAAGCAAGGACAGTGCTCCATAGTAACCTGAACAGAAAGCTCATTCCCAAGCCAAGGTCGCCGGGCCGCTCGGAGACATAAGCAGCAGATAATGACATCATCTGGGGCCTCCAGCCAAGGATGGGCCAGGCACCCAACCACCTTCTGAGCACAAAGAAGGTGCTAGGAGCTATAATTACTAAGTGATGAGGAAGGGGGAAGGTTCCAGAATGGGACTGGTCCTTTGAGAGCGTGGGAAGCCCATGTGTTGCACAGCTGAGGTAGTCCAGCACACTGAGCTCTGAAGCTCGGGTTTCTTGACTTCAAGGGATTCATGGGGGAGGTCAAGTTGTCAGGGTTAGCAGAGACAGCTCCCCAAAAGAACTCCGAATGCACGCTTATGAGATAGAATCACACGGGCTTTCTACTTCATGGTCCATCAATGGGTACACAAAACTTTTCTGCAAAAAAAAAAAAATTAAAACAACCTGATTTTTACAAAATGCCGAGGCTGCGGGTATGTGACGTCGCAATCCAGCCTCCAAACGTAGGTGGAGGCAGAGCCGAGAGAGTGAACGCACGTAGCTCTGTGGGGAGTGTGTGGTTTCTCATCTCAGGAATTGTGAGGCCTTCCCAACCAGCCCCAGACTGAGAACCAGATCAGTTGCCAGGAGCCCAGGAGCGGTGGCCAAGGCCTCTGCTTGCTCCCCCAGACCGTGTGCCCCCATGGAGGGGGAGACAAAGGAGGGAGGAGGAGACTGCTGTGGCAGCCCCTGAGTGCCTGGACGTCCCCACACAGCAGAAATAGAAAGCCATTTGGGAGGTCATTTTCTCCTCGTGAACAAAGGAAATGTGTGTATAAGGGACCTAGACTTATCTCCAGCCGCAAACACTGCTGGATTTTTAGCTCCAAAGACACCAGCTTCAGGCAGGCAAGCTGGGCTAAATCTCACAGGGACGAGGCTCGTTGTTACAGCTCTAAAAGCTTTACCCTGGAAAGAGAATTCTAGCTCTGCGGGCTTCGAACCTTGGGCTAAGTGATCCCTCTGAGGTGGAATCGGTATCGGTGAGCCTTTTAGGGCTGAGGTGAGGACTGAGTGCATGGAGGCGTCTGCCGGGCGCAGCTGTGATCCCAGCACGCAGAGGCTGAAGCGGGAGGCTTTGAGTTTGAGGTCAGCCTGGGCTACAGAATGAGACTCGGAGGAAGGAAGGGAGTTGTCTGTATCATGACAGCACCTGCACACAGTGGGCCTTTACTTTCCAGGGATGTAGACCCACACACAAACAGAACGAAGGCCCCAGTGTGGCCTGGGCTATTGGTGAGTTTGAGGCCTGCCGGGGCCATGCAACCACTGTCTAAAACAAACGAGAGCAGTAGTGATGGGGAAGTCCTGTGTCTATGTCAATAAAGCACTGTTGGCCAATAGGGAAGCAAGATAGGTGGGACTAGGAGACGAAGAGGACTCTGGGAGAGAGAAACACAGGGAGCCACGATGTAGCCGCCATAGGGATAAGAGGTCCAGACCCTTTTCTCTGGTAAGAGAAATACTTAGATTAACAATTATGGAGTAAATACTTAAGTCAGAGATAGGCAGTAAGGAACCAAGCAAACGGCCAACAGCTTCAGTGTCTTGTGTGTTTATTTGGGGACTGCAACTGTAACAGAGCCCAAGCGGCTGGCAGAGGAAAAACCAAAGCAGCTGGCAGAGGAAAAGGCTGCACTCTACATATGGTTGTCAGAAGCGGGATATGAATTTCCACGTAAAATGACGAAAGCTTAAAAGGAATTTTAGAAAAAAACGAATGGAGAAAAGCATGGCTTCTTGGTAGCAACATTTTCTCAGGCGGGCTCTGTTTTGCTAGCGATAAGCAGAGACTCATGCGGCTTGCTTAAGGGAGGCTTCCTGACTCAGCATAAGCAAAGGAAAAAAAAACCACCAAGGTTCTTTTAAGAGGCCCTGCTAACAATTGAAAGGTGTGTACGTGGCCGGGCGTTGGTGTCGCACGCCTTTAATCCCAGCACTCGGGAGGCAGAGGCGGGTGGATCTCTGTGAGTTCGAGGCCAGCCTGGTCTACAGAGCGAGTTCCAGGACAGCCTCCAAAACAATAGAGAGAAACCCTGTCTCGAAAAACCAAAAAAAAAAAAAAAGAGAGAGAAAGGTGTGTACGTACAGCTGGAAGTGGCGGTGACCACATCGCCAAGCTGGCAGCTTTTGCTGGAAGTCAGCATAGGCTGAGGCAATGAGCTGGGGTCAAATTTATGCCCGCCATCTGGAAAAACTGCAGTTTAAACAGCCACGGTTTTAACAGATGAGACACGTGGCCAGAAAAACATAAAGATTTACAGTAAAGTCAGACTTGGATGAAGAAAACCTTCTAAAGGTTTACAGTGTTTAAAAATATAAGTGAGATTAAGAGAGAAAAAGAAATTGCATAGTGGTAAATAGAGAAGCCAGCTGTGGTGGTGAACGCCTTTAATCCCAGCACCGGTAGGATTTGCTCCAGAGGCAGAGGCAGGTAGATTTCCAGAGAAACCCTGTATCAGAGAAATAAATAAATAAATGTAAAGAAATAGAGTAATAATAGATAAATAAATAATCCATGTAAAGATGGAAAATACACAGAGAGTCTGGATACTGTATGCTATTGTGTTTTTCAGGTTTTTTTTTATTGCTAAGGAAGGAACAACTACTAAAGTACACTTGATTATAAATGCTGCTGAATTAATTCAACTTACATCTTTTGAAAATGCCTTGACTTCAAAATTTAAGTATAAGGATATGTTACTTTGGAAAAGAGTTTTTGTTTATGTTTCCACAGAAAATGGAAAGCTGTGGATTCCTTCCAGGCTTCTGTGGTTTGATGAACCAAGACCCCCGGAAGCAGTGGGCCAGGTGTTCCAACAATTAAGACAGCTGAGATGATGCAGCCTTACAAACCACAAAAATAAGGACTTATGAGTTTTGTCATGATCCCCATGGTATGAACAGCGCCCCCATCCAGCAGGAAGCAGTTTAGAATGAGCAACGTCCAAATTCCCGTATTGTTTATAAATCTTTGTTTTCATTTGAATGGGTTGCTTATAATTGGTTAGTGGTCACAACCAATCTCTTTTTTAAGGTAAAAGGGGAATTATGGTATGGAAATGAATAGTTGGCATGGGTATGGTTTTTTATTTATTGATACAAATTCAAGGTCAATTTTGTGATATGTATATTTCTCCTCTTGTTTAAGTATTGTGTTTACACTGATCTTTTAAAACATAATGCATAATTAAATACAGACTACAGATAGTTACTTATAATAGTCAGAACTTAGGTTAGGTTTTCTAGATAAACAGAGATATATATTTGAGATAGATAGACAGTCTTCAAACCTTTCAAAAACCTTCAAAAATGGCATTTAAAATAGTTTAGGGTTTTTCTTGACAATGAGAAATGTCTGCTCCTGGCACATCAATTACATGTAAGAGGAAGACGGGCATCGAAGAAACTCATTATGGAGTTCACTTTCAGCATGGCAAGATTAGCCATTTGAGCAAGAAACTGCTCTTGCCTAGACTGTTTGACTGTTGCTGTATAAACTGGACATGCAGGACCCACAGAAAAGTGACTTCTGAACTCAAACAGTCCTTCAGGGTTCCTGCTTCATGGAAGAGTCTACAAGACTTTCTGCAGGACACAGAAAAATGACTGACAGACTGCTAAAGCAGATGAAATTTCCTGCTTTGCTGAGAAGTTTTCCAGACACACTGTGGCCTATGGGCTGAAGATGGATGCCCCAACATTACAGAGGAACTTTGGGTGACTGTCCAAGTAGCAAGATGTCTCTGTCAAGTCTAGTGTTTATATATTATCCTTCTGTGGTCTTTGATGGAGTTGAAGACAGATAGTTATAATTATAGTTTTCCTTAGTTGTGATAAAAGATAAACTACATATAGGACTTGGGACTCACAAGGATGGGACAGATGATATTTTCTTTAAATCTTGCTAAATGTTGATGAACAAAATATTGTAACTGTGTTCTTGCTTGATAGCTGTTCTGTTATATATAATTTGACTATGTTAAAGTTAAGACCTTTCTTTTTATTTAGACAGAAAAGAGGAGATGATGGGGAAGTCTTGTGTATATGTCAATAAAGCACTGTTGGCCAATAGGGAAGCAAGATAGGTGGGACTAGGAGTCCAGGAGGATTCTGGGAGAGAGAAACACAGGGAGCCACGATATAGCCGCCATAGGGATAAGAGGTCCAGAACCTTTTCTCCGGTAACAGAAATACTTAGATTAACAATTTTGGAGTAAACACTTAAGTCAGAGCTAGCCAGTAAGAAACCAAGCAAATGGCCAACAGCTTCATAATTAATTCAGTGTCTTGTGTGTTTATTTGGGGACTGCAACTATGGCCGAGCCTAAGTGGCTGGTGGGGAAAAACCAAAGCGGAGGAAAAGGCTTCACTCTACACAGTAGTAATAGAAAGACACAGAAGTCAGCGACCCTTCTGTGCTGAGCATGGAGTCCCTGGGAACGGCCCAGCTGTAGATGTGGTGGCGGCCTTACTCACCACAAAAGGAAAGGAGGGGGACGAGGGGAAAGGATGGACAGTTCCGCTGCTTGGCTCTTGTCTCGGCAGATACAGTGTGTACCCCAATGCTCTCCCGTACCCCGAGGCTCTCCCATATCCCGAGGCTCTCCTGTACCCCAGTGTTCCTCCATACCCCAATACTCTCCCATACCCCAATGCTTTCCCATACCCCAAACCTCTCCCATACCCCGAGGCTCTCCCATACCCCGAGGCTCTCCTGTACCCCAATGCTCTCCCATACCTCAATACTCTCCTGTACCCCAATGCTCTCCCATACCTCAATACTCTCCTGTACCCCAATGCTCTCCCATGCCCCGAGGCTCTCACGTACCAGCGCCACTGCGTCGGGTGCTCATGTCTGCCACGTATATCCACTCGTTGGTGGCTGGGTTGTACTGCTCCACAGTGCTCAGGCACTGCCTGGAAGCCCCATCATAACCCCCGACAGCATACAGCTTTCCTGGAATATAAAAGCTACTGAGGGTGGTGCCCGTGACACCGGCTGATGCTCCCATTTAATCCGCTGAGGCACCTTTGCCTCATTCAGAGTTCTGGGCAGACCCAGCTTATTCTCCAAACACAGGGCACATCTCTCCTCACACTTCTGCTTCCCATCCACTCTGAAGGTATCATCTGCCTAGAAGCAATGCTGAGCTCTCTCTACCCAGCGCAGAACTCGTCTGGCATCGCTGAGGCTCACAGCAGTCTTGCTTGGAGAACTAGGTTAAAGCTGCAAGGCTCTCAGCCATAATCACACACCCAACTTCCTGGTTCTAGGCTCACAGTGACAAGTCAGAAGAACATGGAGGAATATTCTTTCCTGAGAACCCAAGCCTGGCCCTAGTCACACCTCCCAAACTCTGGATGGTATCACTGGTGAAAGAACAGCTCTACGTTCATTCTGGGTGAGGCAGCAGGAATTTTTCTGCAGACCACCTTTGGTCCCTGAGCCACATCAGAGCCCTGAAGCATTATCAACTCTTTTTTTATTATTTTTATGCATAATGGAGTTCTGTCTGCGTGTATGTCTGTGTGAAGGGGCTAGGTCCCCTAGAACCAGAGTGAGCTACCATGTGGGCATTGGGAATCGAACCTTGGTCCTCTGGAAGATTAGCCAGTGCTCCTGACTGCTGCTGAGCCATCTCTCCAGCCCTTATCAACTGTTTTTAAATAAAAATAGCATTAAGCTCCTATGGGAGAGTCATTCCCAACTGGGTCTAGAGTCTGGGAACAAGGTGCAAACAGAAAGGGGTAAATCTGGCCTCCATGAGAGCAAGGGCTCAAACATATGGGACTTAGCATTTACAGTCTTAGATACAGCAGGACAGTCCCTTCTGTGGGGACAGGGAGAGAAGCCCTACTTTGCCTAAGGACATCAGATCTACAGGACTCCATAACACTAGCAGCAGGTTATAATGGCACCAGCTTCAGGCTAAATAAACACAGACATGGGCATCTATTTAGCAGAATTACTTAATCAAGGATGAGGGGGCAGTATATGAGTTCCTAATATGAAGGGTACAACTAAGACGCCAAAACCCATGATTACATTGTGAGCTTCTCAGGCCCAAGCAATGCCGTACCATCAGGGCTACGGACCCAGCAATCCTACTATTGCTGAACTGCGTTTTCCTCTCTGCATTGTTTCAATTGACATTTTCCAGAAAGACCTCATCCACAGCTCCTCCCTCACAAAGTTAAAGTTGACAAAGGGATCCATGCAGTAACCTCTCCAGAATCCAGGCCGCTAACACTGCTGGCTCGGATGGTCCCAGGCCACTGACCCCACACCGGCTCAGGCAGGCCCTCTACCCGCTGACCCCACCCCGGCTCAGGCAGGCCCTCTACCCGCTGGCCCCGCACTGGTTCTGTTGAGCGCATCATCTGTGTACACTCCAACCCACACTGTGCCTCGCCCTTATGGGTGATTCTCCCAGGCGGCAAGTAGCAAATTATCCTGCAATCCTTAAGGGCCAGTCAGACGGCGTGATCTTGGTTGTGAGATGATGAACCAGTGCAGAAAGCTGACTCTCCAAACCACTGTGAAACACAGTCCAGTTCAGACCCTCCCCGAATTCTTAGAAACCCCTTTCTGCCGCCCTGAGGCAGCCTGCAGCTTTAGGAGCAGGAGGGGCCAGAGAAACAAACTCCTCCACGCCTGCAGGGCAAGCTCCGACTGTCCTTCTGCAAGCAGGCGTACCAGCAAAAGCCCTTGTCCCAGGCAGTCCTTTAAATCTTTACCATCAAGGCACCTCCTCTAACCCCATCAACCTTGTTTCTGCTGAAGCAAACAGACTCTCAAGGTCTCTCCTGGAGTGCATTCCTGAAGATCTGCTATTTTTAAACCCCTGGGGTATTGTTTGATGCCCCCTGGCCGAGGAACAAGGCAAAAGAGAAGGTGACTGGACAGAGCTCTTGGGTCTGGCTGGCGAATCACTTTCCGCCCCACCAAGAGGACGAGACCTTGAGAAACCCTGCCCTCACTGAGACGATGTATTCAACTACACTGGGATAGCATGCCTGTAAGTGGACATTTCAAACTAGTAACAGTGGTACAGGCTGAGAAGTACGGAAAGAGGAGACGGCCAGCGTCCATGCTGGTCAGTTTCTTGTCAACTTGACACAGACTAGAGTCTCACCCGGGGAAGAGGGACCCCTTGGCTGAAGGATTGCCTCCATCAGACTGGCCTGTGGGTGTGTCTGTGGGTCATTTTCTTGATTGCAAATTGAGGCAAGAGGGCCCAGCCCACTGTGGGTGGAACCATCCCCAGGAAGGTAATCCTGGGTTGTATGTAAGAAAGCCATGGAGAGCAAGCCATGGACAGCACTGGTAAGCAGCATTCCTCCATGGTCTCAGCGTCAATTCTTGCCTTGGGTTCCTGTTTGGCTTTCCTGGATGATGGACTCTGACCTATAAGGCAAATAAACCCTTTCTTTCCCAAGACCCTTTTGGTCAGTGTTTTAGCATAGCAAAACTAGGACACCATCTCCCAGCATGTTAGGCTCACGCGCGCGCGTGCATGTGTGTGTGTGTGTGTGTGTGTATACACCCATGTATGTGTGTTAGCGTACTTGTGTGTGCTCTCACTGGTGCACACGAAGCATCCATGGGTACACCTGGCTGAGCAGACATCAATGCAGACTACTAAGTCTTCACTGGCCTATCATCTCTAACATTTAGTTCAACTCCTACCTCCCCACGTCAGTACTGAGCTCACAAACTCACACCTGTCAGCATTTGAGACTGGTTTGCTAATCTAGATTAGGACTCGGAAGACCTGAACGGAGGACCGCCCTGCTACTTCCTATCATAACATAAGTATTTCTCACTTGCCCTCTCCAGGACACAGCTTCCCCAGCTGAAAGACAGAACCATCTGAATCCTACCCATGTTCCTCCAGAGGGCTTGGGAGAACACGTAAGAGAAAGATGCTTTACAAATTCCTGAGTATTGTCTAGCCACACCCTCTTGCTCAGCCACACCCCACCCAGAGCCTTCAGTCTCATGACTCCTCCTGCTCGGCCACACCCCACACCGAGCCAGTCCTGAAAAACAAAAAGGCTGTCTTTCTAGCTAGCTATTAGCACACAATACATGAAGGTGAGCAGAGATTTAGCGAGCATAATTAACTCAGATCATCCTTGCAACATTGTACCCAAGTTCACATGTTGACTCTGGGCTCCCTACTCCCTTCCCAGTGCCCACTCTTAGCAGAGCTATTGACAGGTGGCCAAGGGACAGGCAATCACCCTTCCCCTCGTCTCTGCCCTCTCTCCAACCTGCTGGAGCCCTTCTTAGCCTTGGCCCGGGAGCCTGCCCTCCGAGTCTTGGCCCTCCTTGTCTGTTAACTGGAGACAGTGGGGCTGAACTCAAGCCAGTGCCCTGAAGAATGGAGCCATGACAGACGGGTCATCAGGCAGTGCTGGACTCAGGACAAGACCCACAGGCTAGGGCAGGACCAGCCGCCACCCTCCGCCGCTCCTTACCTTCCACAACACCCACTCCCACGCTGCTCCGCCGCGTGTTCATTGGGGCCACGAAGAACCACTCGTTGGTCTTGTAGCTGTAGGCTTCTACTGACGCCAAGCCTAGGGAGAAGAGAATCATGAGATCCCTAAAGCCAGGGGCCTCACCCTGCTGTGTGAGGAACAGTGAGGCCAGGAGGAAACCAAGCCAGGACTACAGACTCGATGCCCAGCTTGGTACACCTCTGCCTAGCACGTGGCCATGGTAACTCCTTAGGACTACATAAGGTGATGACTGATCACCTGGATGTGACATACAAGGAGGCTGGGGAGATGGCAAAGGGGTCCATCTGAATCGCACTATAGATATAAACCGTTGAACTTACAGAGTGGAATATTCAATCCCAAGCAAATACCCAAGGATGCCTCTCCAGACACCATCCTGACCTCTCTTCCCATCTCCTCTCTTCTACTTTACAAGCTGAATAGCTAAAAGTGTACCTCCCAGGATTCCCCTGCAGCTAGACGCCACTGAGCCCTGAGCAGAAATCTGATGGGGACTTCCGGAATGGCCTTCTCGTTTCTGATATGGCATGGCCCCTTGCTGCTTCTTGCTACCGGGGACACAAATGTCCTAGCTGGAGTCACAGCTGCTACAATGTTACCATGGGGAAAGCCAAGAGGATCATAAAGAATCTGGGCCCAGCATGCGTGTGCACTCAGAGTCCACGTGTCCTCTCTGGATTACAAAACCCCCTTCACCGGCGCTGTAAGCCGGCTTTCTCTCCTCAGCGAGAGCAAGTCCTGCTGAAACAATCCCAGATCACTCTCACTGAAGAGCCTTCAGAGAGGCGGCCAACAAACAAACAAGTCCAACCTCTCCCTCTGTGGCCCCAGGGACAATCGCTGCAGTTTGAGTCCCCATCTCCAGTCATCCACCTGACAACGTGCCTACAAGGTGGCTCTGTCTCTCCAAAGTCACCACCCGCTGACAGTTCAGACCGAAATTTTTAAACGATTTTCTAAGTGTCAGGGTGTTTTGCCTGCATGCTTGTCTGTGCCTGGCACAGGCGCAGTGTCCGTGGAGGCCAGCAGAGGGCATCAGATGCCATGCAGCACGATTCCGCATGGTTGGGAACGAACCCCGGTCCTGTGGAACAGCAGCCAGCGCTCTCTCTCGCTCTCTCTCTCCAGAAATTTTGCAGTGAGGTAGAAGCTGGGAGTGAGGTGCCCATGAGTGATGTCATAGCCCACAGGGCTCTGCGTGACAATGCAAAGAACAACGGCCAATCGGGCAACCGTGCCTGCTCTGAGCAGGTGCCTGAAGCCCCCCACAGGTCCTTCGACAGCTGGCTCGATAAGGGGCTCTGTCTAGGCCCCAGCAGGGCACACCCCCTTTCTCTGTCTGACCCTGGGGGAACAGGCTGCTAGGCATGAGAGAGGTGAGCAGGGCCTTCTGAGCATGGGGCCTCCTCAGAACCCGCGACATCACGGAACGGCTAGGGATCCGGGACATAAGAAGGCTTGTTGCGGACAGACAGCACTTAGGAGTTTGGATCTTGAATGCCCTAGAGGTCCACGTTTATGCTGACGGCTTGTTTTTGGACAGCGGTCCTGGGGAAGTGGTGGGAGTTTGGGGAAAGGGTCCTTGGCACTGGTGGTGACCCTGGAGTGTCTTAAGATCACGGTCTTTCCTCTTCCTGTTGCTTCCTGGCTAATGTTTCACGTAGTCACACTGCGCCACGATCAACGACCTCAGCACAGACCCACACCGGCCTGTGGGCTTCACCCTGCACAACTATAAGTCACAAGACCCCTTTTCCGAGAGCGAGGGTTACATCGGTATTTCCTGACGGTGCAGGAGGGCTCCCTAGCTCAGATGGGTTCATTCCTGGAGCAAGCACCGCTTTAGGAATGCATGGAGGCTAGCCCAACAACCCGCCTGAGCAACACCCCCAGGACCTACCGGTACTGCCGTCAAAGCCTCCGACCGCATAGAGGAGATCATTGAGCACGGCCGCCCCTAGCGTGCTCCGGCGCTCCTGCATGCTGGCGATGGATGTCCACTGGTCCTTCACGCCATCGTACACATCCACCGTCCGCACCCGCAGAGAGCCGTTAAACCCGCCCACGGCATAAACGTGGCCGGCCATGAACACCACGCCTGAGACAGAGGGAACAAAGCATGAGAGCTGGGAAGGGGGCTGCCTGCCCAAGTCCATGTGTGCCGTCAAAGAAGCAAGTGGGCTTAAGGCCGACTCGCTATGGAGGGCCACTTCCAGGGTTAGCTACCTGAGAGGGACTATGGGACTCTGATTTCTTCCCCTATTTGGTTCTCTAACTTCACCTGGTTTGAGTAAGTTCCCGAACTGGCTTAAGCTCACAAGCACATAGGACCTGACCTCAGAGTAAGCAGCCCCAACGTGCTCAAGGGGAAGGAGGTCTGGGGGAGGAGCTGGAGGCAGAGGCCAGCAGGGAAAGGCTGCTAGGGACCCAGGTGAGCCGGGGGCTGGGGCTGCTTACCTGCTCTGCATCTCCTGGAGGGAAGCTCGGCTATCTGGTCCCAGCGGCCCTCCTCAAAATCATAGCACTCCACACTGCGGATCGCCTTAGGCGCCTGGCCACCAACCACAATCATGACCTCCAGAAAGAAATGCACATTTACTGCGTCTGCCCAACACGCACGGAGCCGGTGGCCAGTCCGTGGCCCCTACCACATGACGCCTGCCAGTCTGCAGGGTTACACGCAGATGCCGCCCTGGTCACTGAGGGGGTACATGCCGGCCAAGCAGCATACAAAGGCCCACACTTTCCAAACGCCCCCACTCAGGGTGATGTTACGGAAACAAAAACATCTCCTTCAATCTCAGTACACATAAGACGGAGGTGGGGGAGTACAATTTTTACATAGGGACAAACGTATTTGGGGTGGGAAGCACAGATTCCCGATACATTTTTAGGATGATGTTATTAACCATAAGTGCTTCTGAGTATCTAGGCTGCAGAGGGTACTGTGGTAAAGAAAAAAAACAAAACAGTAATTTCTCAACCCTGCTTTGTGGTGGTCATCGAGTTACTTAACTTGGACAGTGCTCGGGAAAATGGTGCTTAAAGCTCTTTTTTCCCCCCTGCAAGTAAGGCTGTAGCCAAGACATCAAGGCGTGCACACCGTGTTGTCCTCTGCCTGTCAGCGTGGCTGACAGACGAGGAATGCAAAGTTCAGAAGGCACGAGTAAACAGCCAGAGGTCACTCAGGAAAGGGAGGCAGAGGAGAGAGGGGAACCCAAGCCCTCCAGGGAGGAGGCTGCCGTGGCTTCCCTTCTGTTCTAGAAACTGTGGTCCACGTCAACACTGGCCACTGCATGCTGCATGACATTAGGGCATCACAAAACTCAGTTCAGCTGGTCGTGACCAGAATACATCCAGTCGAACTGCATGGAAAATACACAGCCAGGGTATTATTTTATGAAATATTTAGATGTGTGTTTTGAACAGTGATTCGTATGTATTTCTTGCTGCAGGGTGTGGTCAAATCCAAGGGAAGCTGTGTTCTGACTATGTTAATGAACTGTACTGACCTGTGGCACCCATATGCCCAAAACATTATACACACTATTAATAAATAAGAATCAAAATATGCTTACGATAACAATAGCCCGGGTATTTTGATAAACTTGAGCAGACTCTCGCTGCCCCCCTCATGATCACATGACCCCGCCCCGGCATTTCCACACCCTTCTTTCAGCTAGCCAACACAAGCCTTGGGCTCAGCACAGCCGGAAGCCTATCTTATCCGCCTCGCAGCCCCCACACAAACCGCTGCGCCCTACCCCAAGTTTCCAGTTCAGCAGGTCCAGGGTTTGACTGAGAATCTGTCTCTACCACAGCCCAGGAAATGCCAAGGCTCTGCTTCAGAGCTCAGATGGGGAGAGGCATGTTTCCCCCGGCCTGTAGGGATTTCTTGATGGCACACCATTAACAACCATCACACTGCCCTCTGACTCCTCACACTATGTTCCTGAGGAGAGGAGGGGTCGTCTAAACAACCGTGTAAACTGACAGGTGTACGAACCTCAGGAAAAGGAAAAGCCCTAACTGCAACCATTGCACCACATCAAGCATGACAGCAGACGCCGGAGTGCCCTTGTCACTGGTCACTGCTCTTTAGAATTGGTTCACGATGTCTGCGACCCAAATGTAGGTCACAAAATCTTCAAAGCCCAAGCGTCACTTCTGACCTCTAACTGCTTCCAAAGCAAAGCACAGCACACAGGCCTGGTCTCACTGCATGCTCCAGTGCAGGACACACAGCCTCACTGCAGTGCTCCAGTGCAAGACACACAGCCTCACTGCAGTGCTACAGTGCAAGACACACAGACCTGACTGCAGTGCTCCAGTGCAGGACACACAGCCTGACTGCAGTGCTCCAGTGCAGGACACACAGCCTGACTGCAGTGCTCCAGTCCAGGACACACAGCCTCACTGCAGTGCTCCAGTGCAAGACACACAGCCTCGCTGCAGTGCTCCCAGTAAAGGACACACAGCCTGACTGCAGTGCTCCAGTGCAGGACACACAGCCTCACTGCAGTGCTCCAGTGCAGGACTCACAGCCTCACTGCAGTGCTCCAGTGCAGGACTCACAGCCTCACTGCAATGCTCCCAGATAAGTCTTCATGTCCCCTTCCTGAAAGCCTCAGTTTACAGCTCTCGGGTTGGGGTCAGCGGAACCCTTCCCAGAGAAAAGTCAGATTGTACATTTCTTCTTGCCACATCTTGTTTAAATGGCAGCCACGGGCAGGTCCACGGGGTGGGGGATAGGAGATGTTAATGCTAACGAACTCAGCTTCTTGGCAAACTTCAGACAATGCCCAACTTCCTCCTTCAGGGTAGCTCTAAAGGCTGGATGTCCATTACCCTCCCTAAAACCCGTCTTGAGTGTTTCACTGTCATGTGCGTGTGCGTTGGCCCCAAACTCTCAGACTCAAGCAACCCTCCTGCCTCAGCCTTGTGAAGCTACAGACACAAGTCACCCCGTTGTGCCCAGCAATAATCCGTCCCCTGGGGTGAACCTGTGTAAAGACAGGGATACAGGGGTCATTAGGAGTTGAAGAGCAGGTTCTGGGCTAACAATAATGCTAGCTGAGTGACACGAAATCCTCCTAAACACTGTACTGTACCTGAGAGTCTCCCAGGTACCCCCGGGGTCCTGATCCCAAGTCACAGTTGTCACTGTGCTGAGGGCTGTAGCTGTGCTCACTGGAGATTTTTTGTTTTGGGTTTTTTTAAAGATTTATTTATTATTTATACAGTGTTCTACCTGCATGTATGTCTGCATGTATGCCAGAAGAAGACATCTGGTCTCATTACAGATGGTTGTGAGCCACCATGTGGTTGCTGGGAATTGACCTCAGGACCTCTGGAAGAGCAGCCAGTGCTCTTAACCAATGAGCCATCTCTCCAGCCCCTCACTGGAAATGTCTGGCTAACTGAGTGTGGGCAAGCTGAACCCCACCACGGCAGGGGCGGCTATTAGGTACCTCCCAAGGAGAACACTACCACTATGGAAGGCCAAATGGCCACTTATTATAGCGAGGTGTCTTAGCCTGGCTTCTTAGAACGAGTTTTAAAACACACGCTCAACACTCTTTCACATCCGCCGCTCTGCTTGCAGGAGAAGAGCGACAGGAATGAACTTACTGGACCAGCGGGTAAGCAGGGCCAAGCCCTCTGGCCCATGTGTGAGTCGAGACCCTAACCCCGGCCGCGGGGAATGTCCACTCAGGTCAGAGGAACTACCTGGGCTGTGCACACTTTCTTCATGGGGCCAGGGCAGAGTGTGTCCGAACTCTTCCATGACAGGTGAGCTGGGCAGAAGGCAGGCCCAGCCAGTCGGTCCCTCGGGCCAGGGCAGGAAGCCAGTCTATCTTACCCTGGTGCGTGGGGCCGCAGGGCTAACACCAAAAAATTCATCCGAAGGAAGTGTGTCCAGTAGAGCAGGAGACTGGTCCACGCAGGTTCCTAAGCAACGGGTGCCCCCCTCCCCGCAAGAGCTGGCGGCAAGACGCAGAAACAGCAGGGCTCTGACAACTGGACAGAGCGAGAGCACAGGGCCCAGAGAGAGTAAAAGGTCGGGGAGTCAGTGGGCACTGGGGTCAGACACGTCTTGGCTCAGCCGTGGGGGTTCATCACTAGTCATCCACAGGCAAAGCTTCCAGCCTTGCTAGATCTCGCTTTCAGCATCTGCCCTATCCGAGAACCGGGGCGTGGCTCACACGGCGGTGTCTTAGGCTTCGGTGACATGATACGCTTGTTATAAGGCCCTGGGGACAGCAAGTGGTGTTAACCGGCAAACGCTGGGCATCGTTATTGATGCTTGAAGACTTTACTGAAAGAGACTACTGCGAATATAGAAAAGGCTGGGCGTTGGTGGCGCACGCCTTTAATCCCAGCACTTGGGAGGCAGAGGCAGGCGGATCTCTGTGCATTCGAGGCCAGCCTGGTCTACAGAGCTAGTTCCAGGACATCCAGAACTGCTACACAAAGAAACTCTGTCTTGAAGTGTGTGTGTGTGTGTGTGTGTGTGTGTGTGTGTGTGTGTGTGTGTGTCTGTGTCTGTGTCTGTGTCTGTTATGTATGAGCCTTGAATGAGAAAGCGAGGTGTATGAAGCCCAGGGGTTATGGTGAGGTTTCTTCTCAGAACCCCAGGGTATCTGATGGAGAATGGAATAAAATGGAATAAAAATGGGAGACAGGAAGAGCCAGCCAAGGGACTTGGGCAAGGTGTTAGGTCACCCTAGCTACCTGCCAGCAGTCTCTGCCTCTAGCAGTTTTATCTGAAAGCTGGATGGTCCAATTCAGGATCGGGCTGCCCTTGTCCATCCCAAATGGCTTCTTGTATCGTTTCTAAAGGGATGGGTAGAGGCGCACGCTGAGCTGAAATCACAAGTAGGCGTCACTGCATTTCTAAAGGTCTCCTGTGCACTCTCCTAGAGCCCGATTCTTATTTTTTTTTCCTGCTGCCATCTGTGGAGGTGGGCAATGCAGGCAGGCTCTGAAACTGAGAGACAGCCTCTGGTTGTCCATAGCAACCCAACCTCAGGGAGCCTGCTGGGTACCAAAGGTATGGGAGCCAAGACCACGCTATTAGCTGTTCCTGCTGGAATGTGTCAGGATGACCAACTGTCCCCAGCCCAGGAACACACTCTTGTCATCCTCCTCAGCTACCTCAAGGAGCTCTAGTGCTTTCCCTAAAGGACTTCACTAGCAGACAGTCATGTCGAGAAGTGCCGAGGAGAGTGCCAATCTCTCTCCATCACCCCAGTTCCCCTAGAAAGCCCATTTGAGCAGAAATTCTGACAACCAACCCAGTCTCTCCTTGGAGTTCCCCCGAGGAGCCCAAGGACCCCCCCCCTTCCTCTGCTTCCTTGGTTCTTTGCAAACTCTCTTGACACCTCAGAGAGACTTCCCAGAGGGCAGGATTCAGGAGGCTTCCCTCAGAGGACTAAGACTGTGGAGTTTAGAGGCCATGCCATGAAGCGGTTCAGAGCTACTCCCCCTCAGCTTAAATCTCAGCTCAACCATTCACTGGCCGTGCTTCAAAGACGGGCAGACACCTTCTGATCCTTCCCATTGCCTGCCGTGTGTGTGTGTCTGTGTCTGTGTGTGTGTGTGTCTGTCTGTCTGTGTGTTGTGTGCTACCTCAGTGATTTATGTCTATCAAAGAAAACAGCAAGAGGGACGGGAGGGTGGTTCTGCGGGGAGGCTACAGCAAGGCCAACGCCTCTGTCTGGAGTGTGCCCCCTCACTTTCATGTGGTAGAGTCCCTCACTGGAGAAGCAAGCTACCTTGCACTGGGCGCCTCACAGTGAGAAACCAAAGTCCACCAGCGGCTGTGTGAGTGAGGCCTTCCCCAGACTAACCTTTGGACGGCTGTCACCAAGACCTCTAGCTGGCCTTCTTGAGAGACCCGAGCCAACACGATCCAGCTAAGCCACCCTTGGACACCAGAAACCACAATATGTGTTGTGTTGAGCCAGCAGGGAATATGGATACGGATGGTGCAGAATCCATAAGGAGGCGGTGGCAGATCCTATGAGTCAATTTCCCTATCTTCAAAACGGGAATGATCAGGATTACGAAAATTCCAAGAGTAGTAACTGGAGGGCACTTAGCCCAGGGCTAGGCACCTTTGCGCAGTAACTGAGGTCCACTACTGTTATCACTGTGGGGACTGACGTCCCTCACGCTGCCATGGGTGGGGAAAGCCCTGTAAGAGTCCCTCAACCCTTCTGACGCCCAGTGTTCCCCACCAGCATCCAGCCCCATTATAAAGACAACAGTGCTCAACGCTCAGTCTAAAACACTGGGAGGCTGCCTAGAAACTGCTACGTGAGCAATATTCTGTGTCACCATGGATGCCTTGCGTGACAAGGACAACGACCCAAGAAGAAGCAAGACACAAAGCACCCATCGCCCCAAGTTGCCATCAGAGAATGGGAGCAGTGTCCAGACATGAGCCCCACAGATAGTCTGAGAGCTCAGCTCGGGTACCAGCCCAGCAAAAAGCTCCTCTCATCCCTCTCCGTGGTGCAAGAGCATCTTGACACTCCTCCACTGTGGCACTTACGTTATGAGACTGTCCCGCACATCTGAGTCCCCTCCCTCCACCTGAGGGTCTCCTGAAGAATGACAGTCATGAGTCTTTGCACATCTACAACCTACGCCGTGCTGGGCAACTGTGGAAGGACACTGAGCCTGCGTGACAGCCAAGAGAAGGCTGGGGTCCGAGATTGGTTTCCTTAATCTAAGCGTCTTCTGTTCTCCCAGGGATGGTGGCTAGGTTCACTCAGCGATGGATGGCTTTGGGGGCTGCACTGAATATTCCATAGAGTGGGGGGGTCCTTACTATACCCATGCAAAAAACACGTGCGTGGGTGCTGAAGACAGGGTGGGGGATGGGGGACAACAAGTGAGAGGTGGAAGAAACAGTCAGTGCTAAATCCCACTGCGTTACTTCTTCTTTTAAAATATCTGTCATTCAGGAGACCCCTGACTATCAGCCACCCTGTACCAGAATCTGGGCTGTGCGCCAAGGACACCAGAGGATACTGCCTGCTGCCACAGAGCATACGGCTTAGTGCAGAGCACATACTGCAGAGGGGAACCCTAAGTAGCCGGCAAAGCCTCAACCTGGGGTACACACGTGCTTCCAAAACCAACGCCCCTGTTCTTTGCAGACCAGCATTTACATCACCAGCACAGCCATTGAATATTCTTCTCCATTGAATACCCTTCTCCATTGAATACCCCTCTCCATTGAATACCCTTCTCCATTGAATACTCTTCTCCATTGAATACCCTTCCCCATCAACTGCATTTCCACACACGAGTGAAAAACTATCAAAAGTCAGATTTTAGATGGAAACATTGTTGTACAAATGGTCAGCATTAATTCTGTAACTAACTGGTGGCGTGCTTGGGTGAGGCCCTGGGACTGATTCCCAGTACTGCCAAAAGAAAAAGAACATTTGTAATTGTGCCAAAACAAAAAAAAACGTCCAGGAATAAACCTGACAACAAGCAGGCAAAGGCCGTAGGTAGACAAGAGAAAACATCACTGAGAAGGGTCACTGAGCCAAATGAACAGGGACAGACATGTGGCAGGCTGTCAGATAATTCCCCCACTGACCTAGAGATGGGCTCCACCCCCAGGGGATATGAGTTGACTCTGAAATTAGCAGAAACCACGGCCAAGAACAAAACCAAGGCATCGGTGGTACCTCACGGTCCACGAGCGAGGCAACGATGCTTGTAAGGGCAGACAGAATAAACCCAGAAAAAAAAACAGCCCAGAACACGTGCAGTCAACTACTCAGAGCTAAAGGGGCAAGGACCGCAGGGGGAGGATCCTTCCAACCTGTGGCATGCTACAAACATGTATGCATACATGGAACAAATGACATATTTCTTTAAACCCCTGAAGAGGAGACATAGGTTTAAATGTGAAGCTTCAAGTTTGAGTTAGGGGAAGGAGGTTTTTTTTTTTTCAGCTTAAACTCAAAATAAACCACAACAGAAAAAAATTGAACCCTCCAGGCACCCGCTATTCAGAGCATACTTTGGAAGACAGTACGGAGGCTCCCCAGAAAGTTAAAAGTAGCTCTGACACATGACCCAGCCATCTCACTGCCACACATATATCCAAAGAACACGAAATCAATTTGTCAAGAAGGCAGCATCACTGTGATGTAGACTACAGCCTTGTCCACCGTGGCTAAGCTACAGTCTCAGCCCATCTGTCATGATAGAACAGATAGTGGGACAGGACGGGGTGGAATAGTGTTCAGCCTGAAAAAGGAAGGAAATCTTGTCATTTGCAACGCGCTTGAAGCTAGATGGGTTAACACTAAGATAACTTAGGCACAAAAGGACAGCTCTCACCTGCATGCAGAGTCCAAAAAACAGGCAAACTCAGAGACACAGTTACAGTGTTACAACAGGCAGAAGGGGAGGGGAGGGAAGGGTTAGAGAGTTGTTAATTGAAGGGTACAAAGCTTCTGTTGCGTGTGGGGAGGCTAATCCCAGTGTCTGCCCTGCAGCATGGCATCCACAGTTAACAAAATGTTACCTTGTTGAAATCATTAAGGGCAAAATGTTAACGTTCTCACCATGTTGGCTTGCTTGGTTTTACCATTCTATAATGTATGCATACTTTAAAATATTTTAATTCATAATGCACATGATAAACATGTACAATCTTCTGTCAACTGAAAGAACTAACTTTTATAAATCCCAGTCTTCCAAAGATGCTACTGAGAAAACAAAAAGACAAGCACGGGCTGGGAGAAAATATCACAAACGGCTTAGGAGGAAACTGCAAACTAAAAAAGCACACACATACGAAGGCCAATACACTCAATACTGAAAGCGCCCTTAGGATCTACCAACAAAAGTGAGCAATGTGGCCAGGCGGTGGTGGCGCACGCCTTTAATCCTAGCACTCGGGAGGCAGAGGCAGGCGGATCTCTGTGAGTTCCAGGCCAGGCTGGACGGAAAGCCTCCAAAACAATACAGAGAAACCCTGACTCATAAAAAAAAAAAAAAAGTGAGCAATGTGTTAGAGACGGGGACAAAGCCCCCCAAAAGAAATACAATGACATGAGACCAGTGTCACGCCAGATTAAAGAGACACAGCAAAAATATGTCATTTAACAAAAAAAATACTTAACACAGATATGCTTGCAGTACAAAAAAGAGAAATTACTTCAAAGACTATCAGTTGAGGACTGTGACGTACACATGGTGCAGACTACGCCTAGCACTGTGTGCCCCAACAGCTCAAATGCTGACTTCCACACTTGTGACAGTAGAAGCAGTGTGCAGCATTTGGATAAGTTGGGGCAGAGAGACATACTCCAGTCCATTCAGAAGATCCCACGTATGTGCGAATGCACATTTTCAGTTTTTCATGAATAAATCCCACGTATATGCGAATGCACATTTTCGGTTTTTCATGAATAAATGTACACAGATGTCTCTGGGAAGAAAGCTTAGTGGGGCCGTGGCCACAGCAACTGTCTCTTCACTTCTAAATTGTGTGCGTTCCTATTAATCTGCAGTGACTTTATGTCTCTATAATTAAAGATAAATTTCTTCATTTTAAAAACACAAGATGAACCAGCAAGATAGCTCGGTGGCTAGAGGTACTCGCCACCAGGTTTAGCAGCTGGAGCAAAAGGAGTGGCAGCTCTGTGAAGCCTTGGAAACAGCAGGCAAGGAAGAAGGCAGCAGTTAGCTGAGGAGGGGAGGAACAGGGTGAGGAGGAGGAGGAGGAGGATCATGACACAGTAGAAGTCGGAACACTTTCTTGGTAACACCCTGCTGTGTAGTCAGTGGCTAATGTGACTCATCCTGCCTCCCTTCCCTGCTGGGTTGACTGAGACCATCCCCCATCCCCCACCCCACCCTGCCCCCCCAACCCCCCACCCCACCCGCATCAGTCTGTCAAGAGAGTGGAAAGATTACTGCAAAACCTGAGGACTCTGGGGAGCACCAATGCTACACCCCTCATCCTATAGAGACATGGTGACCAGACAGAGAGAGAGCACCAAGCACTCAGCACCCCGAGCACTCAGCACCCCGAGCTCTCCCCACTCTGAACCTCAGGGTCTCCCTAGCCCCTTCCTCCCCGAAGCTCCTCCTTCCCAGGTTCTCTCTCATCTCCGTCTTCCTGCCCTCTCCACTGTCCGTCTGTCTAGCTGCCCTTCATATCCCTTCCCCGGGGTGAGGAAAGGCACCGGGCTAGGACCGTCCTGACTCCCACAATGCAGCGCGCCCATTCCTCTGCTGCTCTCGGAACAGCACACAGGGCAGCGTGACAGGGAGAAGAGGAAGAGGGACGTCCACCTTATGCTCAGAGCTCCCTGCTGCCGCTGTGGCCCCTGGGAGCCCTGAGCAAAGCGAGCTCCCAGCAGACCACCAGAAAGAACCGAGGAGGACGTGGAAGGCCTCTCCCCCTGGACAGTCCTGAGTCTGGGCCGGCAGAGGCTGACCTGGGGCTTACCTTGGGCAGGCTGACAGGAGTCCGGGGCTTGGTCCTGGGGTTCTTGATCAAGAGCCTCTGGTCAAGGGGCAGTAGGTGGTACTTCATGGCCTCGATGAGGAAGTCCTTACAGGCGTTGTTATTCTTTATCAGAGCCTCCTCCTCGACTGTCTGGGGACAGCAGTCCACGGGTGACCCTCCGGCACAGTGTGGCGACGCTGCCCTAGCCTCTCCCCAGGCCAGGTCACCATTCCCAACCCTCACTCGTCCCTTTCTGTACCACACCATCCCAGACTCCAAGAAAGGCCCAAAGAGTTACAAACTAGTGCACAGAGTCCCACTTCTAATCCCTGTTCCACCACACAGAATCCCTGACCCTCAGTTTCCTCATCTATAAAATGGGCATGTTGCCGGGCATTAGTAGTGCACGCCTTTAATTCCAGCACTCGGGAGGCAGAGGCTGGCAAATCTCTGTGATTTCGAGACCAGCCTGGTCTACTGAGCGAGTTCCAGGACAGGCTCCAAAACAATACAGAGAAACCCTGTCTCAAAAAACCAAAGTAAAATAAAATAAAATAAAATGGGCGTGTCACAGGAACGGACTCAACAGCTCGTTTTTTTTGAGCTCCAAGCTCCAAGGAAGACACCGATGAACACTACAAGGATTCCAATCTGAGCAGCTCAAGTGGAGAGACTGGATTCACTGGGCCCTCAAGCCAGTCATGTAACAAGGAAGGCCGGGCCAAGCCTCTCCTGGCCCCATCAGCCGTGAGGAACGAACATCCGGCCAGGGCCAGCCTCGTCCGGCAGCTCTGGGGCTGGCAGAAAGATGGGTTGAGGCGACAAGGCCTTCACACACACACACACACACCCCAGCCCTCTTCCTCCCCCACACAAGACCTGGGTTTCTTTCACCTTCCCGGTGGGGGACGGAGCTAGGTTGGGACAAATCATAATGAAAAGTGGGACTAGGGCATAGGTGCTCAGGCAGCCGGTCCCAGAGAGCCGCTCTGGCCTGAGGCAGAAGCCCCTGGGGAGTCGGCACTCGTGTTCTGCTACAGTGCAGGGAGACGGGCAGCCAGGCTTTAGACACGCTCGCCCACGGTGTCCCGAGGGAACTAATACCGCTGAGATGTACACTTAACCGTGGTTAGAATGGGGTGTGGCTCAGCAGATAAGCGCCGGCTGCTTCCACAGGGACCTGGCTGCCATCCCCAGCACCACAAGGTGGCTCACAGCTGTCTCTAACGCCAGGGGATCCAGTGACCTCTTCTGGCCTCCGTGAGCAACAGACACGCAGAGGCACGCATGCAGGCAAGACGTCCATGCACATAAAGCAAAACTTTAACGAGGATGATCAAAGTTTAAAAACTGATCAAAGTCATGAGGTTTATGCTGTGTTTTGTTTGTTTGTTTGTTTTCCGCAGAATAGCCTGGTAGCCGTCTGAATGTCGTTTTGAAATGCCTGGTAGAAGCTGAGTAACAGTTTGCAGCTGCGAAGCCTAAAGGCTGACCACTGTTGAGTGCCGGGCTGCAGACCACAGTTTTTACAGTGACTCAGGCACCGCCATCGGGTTAAACTACTTTAAGTTTCAAGGTCAAATAATGTTAACGTTTCCTAGAGGAACTCCCCTCAGGAGGTCTGGCAGAAGTCCTTTCTAAAGGAGGGGCCACATAACCTCTCTGAAGCTTTGCCTCTGACCCTTTTTCCACATCAAACCTGATAATAACCTGTAATAACTGGAATAAGGCCGTGTCTTTGGTAAGTTCCTGATGTGTGGCCCCCGAAGCTTCCTTGGCTCTCCTCGGAACCCAGTCCCTTGGGCATCCACCCTCCCTGTGAAACTGAGTCTGCACCAGGCAGTTTCCAGGGGACAGAGTCGGGGTGACAGGCGCATTGGTGACTCGGGCGATTTGGGAGGTGACATGCGGCCACCAGGTGGCAGTACTCCAGGGGCTTCAGCACACTCCTCTAAGAACCTGGAAAGGTGTCACTCAAGAAGACTTGCAGAGAGAGCATTTCACTGACCCCCCTTAGGCCTGAACCCCAGGGGCATGCACACGGGACTTTACAAATGGAGTACGCGGCACCTGCAGCCCCAGATGTAAATTATCACTGAACACTGCCAAGGGCCGTACGTGAATCATCTCTTTTTGTCCCCACACTGTCCTATCGGGGCTGGTGTTACTTTGGCCAGATGAGAGAACCAAGGGTCTAGCGGTCTAGTGTGGCTGGGAGTGGCGAGGACAGAGTGGCGTTGCTGGCCGGCTCAGCCTTCTCTCTCACCCTGGCGTGTGAGCGTCTCTCAGGGAACCTCTGCTGGCCGGCCAACTGCCTCGGCGTTGTTAAAGTCACACATTTGGAAGGTTTGCAAGAGAGTCTAACACCGTTCGCTGTACAAAATAAGCCATCCTGTCTGTGTGTAAACAAGACAGAGGCTTGCGGAGGTGGGAGCTCATGGAGCGTGTGCCTCAGAGCCAAGTGGGCGTGGATCTCAATCATGACCACCTCGTGCTGCCCGGGGACCCCAGATCAAGCCTAGCCTCCAAGCTGCAAGTCCCACCCGGAGACCCCAGATCACCCCCTCGTGCCAGCCAGGGACCCCAGATCAAGCCTAGCCTCCAAGCTGCAAGTCCCAAAACTAAAAGGAAAAAGGGGGTGCAATCAAGAGGTCTCAAAGGGTTGTTACATGGACTAAATGAGAAGACACTAGTGCGCCCCACAATTCTTAATTTTTCCTGTCTCTTGGAGGAAGTAGAACTCTGTGCATCTATGAAGAGCCAGTTCTCAGATCTGGACCTCGGGTTGCCTAAGAGCACAACAGAGGAGGAGCACCAGGGCATTAGGAGACACTTCTTTCTCTGTCCTTCCAAGAGAAACCCCGCTCACACCGAGCATGTTACAGGCTCTGTGCTGATCTCCCGCCCGGACACTCACGGTCCCTAGTCCTCACAACAGTTCTTCACGCTCAACCCAGGGGCTCGATGCCCTCCATCAGCACAGTCTTACGTCATGCAGGCACGCCACACAGCCAGGGCCGCCTCCCCGCTCTCCTCCAGCAAACGCTGAACAAGCAAACACTGACCTGGACCAGATAATCCCTAGGTAAGAGAGGGAGCCGGACATGCTCCATGAGCTCCGCCATGTGGTCTAAGCGAGTCTCCTTCTCATAATTGATCCAGGAAATCACGGCTTCAAACACCTAGGAAGAGAAGAGAATGCTTGCGAACAGCTGCCTCAATTCTGGGAGAAAGGTAAAATCCACAGTCATCTGCACAGGTCTTTCATCTTTTTTTTTTTTTAAGATTTATTTATTATGAATACAACATCCTGCATCCATGTATGTCTGCACATACCAGAAGAGGGCGCCAGATCTCATTACAGATGGTTGTGAGCCACCATGTGGTTGCTGGGAATTGAACTCAGGACCTCTGGAAGAGCAGTCACTGCTCTTAACCTCTGAGCCATCTCTCCAGCCCCAGGTCTTTCATCTTAAGACTTGATGTTTAGGGACAAAAACAAAAGCAGAAAGGCCATGGACACTAGCTGGCCTACTGGAGGACACACGCATGGAATAACATGCCGCTGTCCCAGATGTGCAGGCATCATGGCTCACACTAGAATAAGCCCTGATAGTCATTTAAGGGTACATACAGATGCAGAGTGGCCACTGAAAGCCAGATTGTAAAGAATGCCCAAAAGGTCCAGAAGTCTCGGGTGCATGGATTCCTCCCCTCCTTTATTCCCCAGACAATAAGATTGCCCTCTGCCTAAAGCTGGCAGCGATGAACGTGACACAGAATGCCGGAGAACAAGACATCCTCCTTGGACTTCTCTGTTGAGGGGAGATTTCACAGCAAATCAAAGCTAGGGAGAACCTGGGCCAGAAAGGAGAGGCTAGGATTTGCTTTGCACAGGGATTAAGTCCAAATTCAAACCGCAAGTCATTGTGGGCACACAGAGACCAGTAGAATCCAGGCCTGATGAGGCTGAACCAACCGGTAGTCTTGAAATGAATAAATGTAGCTTTGGGGGAGGGAGGGGACGTGGCAAAGCCAATAAAAAAATGGACATATGCCAAAGCCTTTGATTATAAAAAATACTCCTTCTAGAGTGAAGGTTTGTTGAAAAGCTCCCTTAAATGGGCAAGAGCACACGTTAAAGAGAACACAACATGAGCTGGAGAGATGGCTCAGCAGTTACGAGTGCTTGCGAAGGACCCAGGTTCAAGTCCCAGCACCCACGTGGCAGCTCACCGTCACCCAAAGCTCCAGTTCTGGAGATTCCGATGCCCTCCTTAAAATCAATCAAGCTGTAAACTTACTGTGTGTATTCCACTGTTCTGCAAGCTCTGCCTCAACATCAAACAATCTTACTTTCAAAACACAGTAATGGGTCATAGCACGGTAAATAAAAGTCAGATCCAGGAGCTTATGGACACTTTAGGAAGTACGAGATGGACTCGCCTGTAAGGAAAACCACTGGCCAGTAAGTGCAGGAGAACGGCAGACTTAAGAAAACCGTTTGTGCCAGCACCACACCAGTAACTGGCCAGGGGCCGATAATGTGGTGTGATGTTTTACTCTTTGGACACCCACCTCCCAGCGAGACTTTTTCTTAGTTATGTCAGGCCTTAGCTTGGCTTGCTTCTTGCCAGCTTTCCTTAACTTATATGATCTGTCTACATTTTCCCTCTGGGCTTTTCCTGTTCTCTTACTTCTGTAAATCTTACTCTTACTCTGTGGATGGCTGGGTGGCCGGGTGGCTGACCCCTGATATCCTCCTCGTTCTATTGATCTCCTCATTCCTCATTTCTCCTTCTATTCATTCTCTCTGCCTGCCAGCCCCGCCTATCCTTTCTCCTGCCCTGCTATTGGCCGCTCAGCTCTTTAATAATGATCGGGTGTTTTGGGCAGGCAAAGTAACACAGCTTCACAGAGTTAAACAAATGCAGCATAAACAAAAGTCACACACCTGAAAGCAATGCCCAACCACTGACATCAAAAGTTGTCTAGGAACAAGAATCCCCTTCTCAGCATTGTGCCAAGGGTGACATTCCTTACCCAGCGTGCAACACTCTCCCTGACAGATACAACCTTAGACAGGGATCCAGTTTACTAAATTTACTACCGCCAACAGGACAACCTGGTTTTTGTTGTTGTTGTCATTGATTTAGTTTTTTGTCTGCTTGCTTTTGCTTTTTGAGATGGGGGTCTCTCTGCATAGTCCTGGCTGTCCTGAGTAGTCCAGGCTGTCCTGAGTAGTCCAGGCTGTCCTGAGTAGTCCTGCCTGTTCTGTGTAGCCCTGGCTGTCCTGAGTAGTCCTGGCTGTCCTGAGGAGTCCTGGCTGTCCTGAGGAGTCCTGGCTGTCCTGTGTAGTCCAGGCTGTCCTGTGTAGTCCAGGCTGTCCTGAGTAGTCCTGGCTGTCCTGAGTAGACCTTGAACTACAGATAACCTCCCAGCTCTGCCTCCCGAATGCTGAGATTAATGGTGTGTGCACTAATGCAACAAGTCATTAAACCTGTAAATTTTTTAAAATTTGTTTTTATTTGTTTGTCAGACAAATGCAGTAACCACAGAGGGCAGAGGAGGGCATCACCTCCCCTGGGCCTGGAGTTACAGATGGTTGTGAGCCACCAGCAGGGTGCTGAGATTCGATCCCGGGTCCTCTGCAAGAGCAGTCAGTGTTGTTAACCACCAAGCCATGTCTCCGGCCAAGAACTCCATTTTTAAAAACATGAATAGAGCAGAACTAAAGAAAGTGAGCAGTATATGTGTGCAGTGTATTTTGTTGTTGAAGGTAATAAGTTATATATTAATTAACTGTAACCGCATGACTATCATGGAAATCCTCCCTGCATCTCTTCAAAGTCATAAACTCAATAGTTTCCTGGTACATACATGCACTCAAACACTCTTTCTTGTCAGTGAAGGGTGGATGAGTGAGCTCAGAGGAAGCCTGTGAGGAGGTCATGACACCAGGTCAGGCTGACGTGGAAAGCCGGGGCTGGGATCTTGGTGGGTAGAACAGAGTCAGAGCCTGGCAGAGAAGCCTGGCTTGTCTGGGGATGTGGTGGGCTGTCACCATGCCGCCTGGCTTGCACGCTGTCCACACCTCTTCCTATTCCACAGGAGTGAGAACTCTGCGGTCTGATCCCTTGCCCCACATAGTGTGATACCAAGCGGCCGGGTGACAAAGCTTTGGACTGAGGAGTGGATGGGGAGGCCTTGGTGGGTAGAGTTGGGTCATGGGTCACATTCTTCCCCACCACCCAGCCTAATCTTTGCTTTCAGGTGAAAACGCAAGGCCTCTCTTCCAATGCTGTGGTATTTTACTTTGGCCGGACCAGCCTTACTGGCTCCCCTCCCTCAGTTTCTCAGCCATGAAAACCACAGCCAGCAACAGCACCAACCTCCACAGCGCCTACCCAAGACCACACGTCTCTCTCACATGGGCTTCATGCTTGAAAGTAAACACGCAAATAGCTTTAGCCCTGAGTGGACTTGACGTCGTCCCCAGCAGCTCTTCCCGTGGAGGCCTCAGAGACACCTGAATTCTCACGATAAGCCAATGACTCTACACTCCTGACCCTTTGTCAACTTACCCAAACCAGAACTGGAAAGAGGCAGATGTGCGGTCCCCCTCAGACCCAGCTGTGATTTCCCGTGTGTTGTTCCCATTAGTCTCAGCTGCCTCTCAAGTGTCTATTAGCCTGGATTGGCAGAGTAGAGCCCACAGGCCAAATCCGGCCTGCACCTGTTTTGTAAATAAAATTGCACTGGAACAGCACCACTCAGACTCTCCAGACTGCTTCCTGCCCAGCAGCAGAGATGAGAAGCTTCCCAGAACAGGGCCTGGGCTACTCACTACTCCTGACAGGAAAGACTATATGCTTGTTTTCTCCCTGGTACTCAGGAACACATACAGAGGTCCCAGGGCTTCAGGCATGGGACGACGGGGAAGTGCTTTCTCCATGACAAGTGTCTTCATGGGTTCCCTGATAAAACACAGCTGCTCACACTTGGGGTCTCACTCTTAAAGAAACAGGGTCATTCCTTCACTGACTTACGCTGTTGGGCCACTTTCTTGGATGCTGTAAATGCAAAAGGGTTGAGGCAGAGTTTTCATGGTTCTGGGCCCTCGGTCCTCTAGTATAAGCATAAGCTTTGGCTTGAGAGTCCCAGGTAAATGCACACCCCAACCCTGGTTACACAGGCAGCCAAGGCAGGCTGGATCTGAGTGCCTCAAGTTGGAGGACTGGGCACTAATGCTAGCTTTCTAAACATTGTTTGAAAATCAAGAAGGGGGATTCAAGAGCAGTCAATGGGATGGTACCTCAGTAAAGTGACCCCCACCATAGGAACCAGAGAAAAAACTCATGAAACGACACCAAGGAAAAAACTAGTTGCCCTCCCATGGCCCCTATGGTTAATCTGGAGAATTTTGATTGAGGACCTCTGACATGCATAACCTCATTTAATCCACACAAAACTTCCAAAGGAGGTGTTACGGTTCGCGTTTTAGAGATGATCAAACAGCCTAGGAGACTAACAAGTTAGCAGACGCCAGGGAAGAGACCCAGATGCAAACTCACCTCGAACCCCGGACCCCAAGTTTGAGTGCTGTGCAAATAGTGAGTCTCAGTCCCAAGTAGCTGAGAACCCTCTGCTAGCTACAGAGCTAGGAGCCAGGTTCTTAAGTCTGTAATACTAATTATAGCCCTACACTGTCCCAGGACAAAAGTCCAGGGAGGGATGGGGGCAAGGGCATTTGCCAAGTCTGCCGTCACACTTTTTAATTGGGGTTTTGTTTCTTTTCCTGATTTTTTAAATTAAAATACATTTACATCATATTCCCCCTTCCCTTTCCTCCATCCAACCCTCCATGTCCCCTCCCCTTCTCAAATGCATGGCTTCTTTGTGTGTATGTGTGTGTATACATACATACACATATACATACATACACACACGTATTTATGTACATACACACATACATACACATGCATATACACACATACACAATCTACTGTATCCATTTAGAGTTGCTTGTATGAATATGATACCGGCTGACCACTTGGTATTGGGTAACCAATTAAGATGCTCATCGCTGGTGAAAATTAAGTCTCCCCTTCCCAATAGATCATTTTGAAGACTTTTTAAAGCAATGTGTTAATTTTTTTTCAAAAGTCAACCTAAAGCATTT